CCAAAATTCTATCATATTCCTACCCTGCCCAAGGAATACTTAGGTAAAACATGCAACCTCGAGAATGTATGCATGCATGCATGTTAGTAAAACGTATGATCAAGTAAGAACTTGGCCTATAAATGCAGCTCACGTATCATCACAGTGCTCACTCATCAGCCTCTTAGGAACATGGCTTCTTCTTCCTCCTCCTCGTCCCCAATCGCCCTCGCCACCTTGGCCGTGCTGCTAGCGGCCGTCTACCTCCTCCACGCCGGCGGGGCGGCGGCGGCGGAGCTGTGCGTGGACTACTACGACGACACTTCCACGACTGCTTCGTGCAGGGCTGCGACGCCTCGCTGCTGCTGGACACCTTCGACGGCATGGAGACGGAGAAGGACGCGACTCCCAACAAGGGCTCAGCGCGCGGCTACAACGTCGTTGACGCCGCCAAGGCCGCCCTGGAGGCCGCCTGCCCCGGCGTCGTCTCCTGCGCTGACATCCTCGCCCTCGCCGCCGAGATCTCGGTCGAGCTGGTACGTACGTCCCGATCGACCTAGTTAAGTCAAGTACTACAGTGATCCAGCTACCCAGTCTCAGGTAGCTAGCTAGCGTTCCAAGCGCATGCATGATCCGACGAGTCGTGTGACTTGTGTACGTCTGTCAGTGCACAGACAATTAAAAGACACATGCATGCAACTATATAGGCAAGCAAATGAACTGGCTAGGCTGCTGATTTGGCATATACTATTGTGTATGCAGTCCGGAGGACCCGGGTGGGGTGTGTTGCTGGGGAGGCTCGACGGCTTCACGTCCAACTTTCAGGAAGCCGGGAACTTACCAGGACCATTCGACGGCCTGCCGCTGCTGAAGCAAAAGTTCATGGACCTCGGGCTTGACAACACCGACCTCATCGCCCTCTCAGGTAACCAAACTCGCGCACAAAAATAACATCGAAAAGTAGTAACACAAGCTAGCATGCAAGCCAGCGCAGGGTACGTGAGGCTACAGCTGCATGCTAGCACGCCCACAACGCTGCATCGGCCGTCTAGCACGCCCGCGACACTGGCTTCGACCGCTGCCTTGCTGACACTTTCTTCGACTGCTGCCTCGCTGACGCCCAGCAGGCCTTCTCCGGCGTCCGCCCCTACCAGCTCGCGGACTCGTCCGCGTACCTCCACTCGGCCCTCCGAGGCTCCCTCCCTATCGTCCGCCGCTAGGTGCTATCACCGCCGTCGTGAGTCTACATAGACTCTGCACTGCGAGCTGTTGCTCAGGGAGGTCGTGCTCGCCGACGCGGCCGAGGCGGCTCCAGCCACCGTTATTGCACCATCGTCTCCAGTCCCTGACCAACGTCGGGGACGTGCTGCGCCGGGGCGTCGCCATAGTGGATTCGGAGCTCAAGCCTAGATGCACATGAGGTGTTCGAGGAAAATTCAAAGAGAGAGAGGATGAGGAGGAAGAAAATGATTGCTGCTGATGTGTGGGCCTCACCTGTAATAACGGTCAATTTAACGGAAAATAAACAGAGTTGACTTTGCCACCACATCAGCCCTGTCATGTGGGTTCCGCATGTCATAAATATTTTTAGATCATCTAAACTGGCTATTATTTGAAAGTGGTAGTTTTTGGTCATAAAATTTTAAAATTTTGATAGTTTTTGGTCACTTTCTTAAAGGTGGTAAGTTCAGTGCAGGGGCGGAGCTTAGTTGGGGCAAACCTGGGCTATGGCCCGCCCAAAATTTTGACAAAAAAAGTTAATCTACTATATCTAAATAGCTAGTCCTTACTATTAGGAATTCTCTTGCTTCTCTTTAAGCCACATCATCCAAATTAATTTAGCCGTTAGATATACTAGATCAGTCAATAATATCCGTCCGATTTACATATTGAGAGGTGTTCCACTGACCACATGTAGTAACTGACTCATGCATGCAAATACATGCAGTAACTGCCGCCTATGTGTGTTTTAATCAAGAAAAAAAAACTGACACATGCATGCAACTCATATAGCCTCATGCTCGAGTGCTCTATCGTGCATGCATATTTTATTTTATTTTCATCTATTTTTGAACTTATACATAGATATATGCATTTATTTATTTATTTATTTATTTGTAAAGTACCTATACTTTTATTTATTTTATATATACATAGATTAGTTCGGCGCATTTTTTATTTTATACAAAATCCCGCCGCAACGCGCGGGGTATCATCTAGTACCTATACTTTTGTAGCTCGGCCTAGTAACCATACAACCTCTCTATTCAGGCTACTACTCGTCCATGCAGCCTCACAACGAGCAGCGTCCAGTCGGCGGCTGAGACAACCAACAATCAAGGGGAGCCACTAGTTAAAAAGCGCTCCTTCGGGAACCTCGCAACAATCAACACCATTTGGCGCGCTTTCAGCAATTCGCCACGTGTCGTGCTCTGGACGCTCCCTTTGGATTTTGTTTTTTCATTTTCCCGCACGCATTTTTGGCTATTTAAATGGTTTTTTAGTTTTTTTCGACCTTTTGGTTTTCCATTGATCTTCCTTAGCTTTTCGACAAAAAAATCGAAAAAAAATTCACGAAAAACGTGTTTTCTTTTTTTCCTTTCGCGAGAGGCACGGTTTTGCTTCCGCGAGAGGCACGGTTTTGCTTTCGCGAGAGTCACGGCCGTGCCTCTCGAAAACGGAAAAAAAAACGTGTTTCCTATTTTTTTTCCTTTCGCGAGAGTCACGGTTTTGCTTCCACGAGAGGCACGTACGGTTGTGCTTTCGCGAGAGTCACGGCCGTGTATCTCGAAAATGAAAAAAAATGTGTTTTCTGTTTTTTTTTCTTTCGCGAGAGTTACGGTTATGCTTCCGCGAGAGGCACGGGTGTGCTTTCGCGAGAGTCACAGCCGTGCCTCCTGAAAATGAAAAAAACGCATTTTCTGTTTTTTTTCCTTTCGCGAGAGTCACGGTTTTGCTTCCGCGAGAGGCACGGGTGAGCTTTCACGAGAGTCACGGCCGTGCCTCTTGGAAACAAAAAAAAAACACGTTTTTTGTTTTTTTTCCTTTCACGAGAGTTAAGGTTTTTCTTCCGCGAGAGACACGGGTGTGCTTTCGCGAGAATCACGCCCTCCTCGAAAACGAAAAAGAACGCGTTTTTTTTTCTTTCGCGATAGTCACAGTTTTGCTTCCGCGATAGGCACAGTTGTGATTTCGTGAGAGGCACGGGCGTGCCTCTTTCGGAAAGGGAAAACCGGTGCTCCCGGTTCAATTTTTTCGTACGGTTTTTTTGCCTTTTTTTCCGTGAAAAAACGTTCGTCAAAACCAATAATATGGGATCTAGTTTTGAAGATCTCGACGCGAGGAATCCAATGATGAAAGCGATTTGAGATTTGGACGCATGTTTGAAAGATAAAATGTTTTGAATAAACGGATCTATGAAAAAGAGAAAATTTCCATGTTGCGACATGTGGCGCGAGTGATCTTTGCAACGAGCACTCCTCAACTACTGATTTCGGTAATCAAGCACTGCATCTGCAATTCCCTTGCAGTTACGAGTCTATACAACATAGTTAATCTAATTTCTCTTCCTAAATTCTGAGTTCGCTAACTCATGGCCTGATTTCTTCGCTCAACTATTCTTTACATACCGCAAATTGCAGCGGCGAGCTGCCTTTTATTCTGTAATGGCATACTAATACTATCTCTGTCCCAAAATAAATATCTTAACCTTAGTATAACTTTGTATTAAATTTAATACAAAATTGAGACGCTTATTTTAAAAGCGAAAGGAAAAACGTGGAAGGGGTGGGTGACGGATTTTTGATGGGCCAATGCGGTCAGAAGCAGGTTTAGGATCGATATAGACTCTCGTAAACCTCTTTCACGTTTGTCTGCGGTTTAAGGAAAAAATCGTATCCGCACCACTGTGCAAACCGATACAAGTCGGCGTTGGATGACTTTTACGGTCCATACAGTCTGGTGCAAACACTTACGGGGCCGCTCGGAGATGCCCTAATACGAATCGAAACTCAGATCGTTTCGCGGGTCTCATTCCCTGGATCACTAGAGAACAGCTAGCGTATCACCGGTTTTGATCTTGTGGAGTGTGCGCTAGATATGGCGCCGAACGTGATCCTCGGGAATCGTTGATATACAGTAATATATAGATAGTTTCTAATTACATACATAGCTGCGTATGAATTAATCGGCGGCTCATGCAGTCTTTTCTCAGCACGGATCGTTGATATAAAAAAATAGAATTTATTCCCCTAAAAAATAAAAGTATAGCCGCGTATGAAATCAATCGGCTCATGCTGCACGCTTTTCTCCACGTTTCTGATCTAATTATCGAACTGCTAGGTGGCACAGCCTCACAAGTGACATGATTCACATTCATTATTTTTTTTCCGGGGGAACACATTCATTAATTTGTTTTTTAGTTTAGCAGCAAATGATTCTAAATTAATTATATTATCGCCTTCTTCCACGTCTGCATTTCGTGTATGCCAGAGACAAAGGCGGGATCTTCCGTGATCCGCCCTCACGTTCTTCCTTCCCAAGTTCCCATGCACCGCCCACGCGAGCGAGACGAGAGACCTATAAAAATGGCAGCCATCTCGCCGACTTAGCTCCACGGCTACCTACAGCAGCAAGCGCCATGGCAACGTTGCACACGTTCTTCCTTGTTACGACTACGATCCTCTTCGCCCTCCTCTTACTCCTCCGTTTCCGCCGTGTTCGGGGCGACGGCAGGCGCCTCCCGCCGGGCCCGCCGTCCCTGCTGCTGCTCTTCAGCGCGGCGTGGCTAGGGCTCACCAGCTCGCCGGCCGAGGCGGAGCCCCTGCTCCAACGCCTTGTCAGGCGGTACGGCCCCATCGTGTCGCTGCGAGTGGGGTCGCGGCTGGCCATCTTCGTCGCCCGCACGCTTCTGGGCGCGCAGCGTGCTCGTCGATAAGCTACGGCGCCTGGCCGACGACGGTGAGGCGCCTGCCCCGGTCACGCCCTCGTTCCAATACGCCGTGTTCTACCTCCTCTTGATCATGTGCTTCGGCGAGAGGCTTGACGAGAAGGTGGTGCGCGCCATCGCCGCCGCGCAGCACGAGCAGGTGCGATACATGTTCGGCAAGATGTCCGTCTTCGCCTTCCTCCCGTCGGTCGCCGAGCACCTCTTCCGCGGACGCGTCCGGAAAATGCTTTCCCTACGCCGGCGGCAGAAGGAGCTGTTCCTACCGCTGATCGACGCGCGTAGGGAGTACAAGGACAAGAAACGCGGCGGCGAGCGCGAGCCGAGGCGGAGCAAATCGGGAACCACGTTGGAGCACTCGTACGTGGACACGCTGTTCGACGTCAGGCTCCCTGAGGAGGGCAACCGTCGACTCACTGATGACGAGATGGTCAACCTCTGCTCGGAGTTCCTCACCGCCGGGGCTGACACCACCTCCACCGCACTGCACTGGATCATGGCCGAGCTGGTGAAAAACCAGGCCGTCCAGCAGAGGCTCTACGAGGAGATCAAAGCCAAGACAAAAGACGGCCATGAAGAGGTCTCTGAGGAAGACATTCAGAACATGCCTTACCTCAAGGCGGTGGTTCTTGAGGGCCTGCGGAAGCACCCGCCTGTGCACTTCGTGCTGCCGCACATGGCAGCAGAGGACGTGGAGGTCGGCGGCTACCTCGTCCCCAAGGGTGCCACGGTGAACTTCATGGTCGCCGAGATGGGCAGGGACGAACGGGAGTGGGAGAAGCCCATGGAGTTCATTCCGGAGCGGTTCTTGGAAGGCGAACAAGGGGTGGACATGACAGGCAGCACGGGGATCAGAATGATGCCGTTCGGCGTCGGCCGGAGGATCTGCGCCGGTCTGAACATTGCCGTGCTTCACCTGCTCTACTTGGTGGCCAACATGGTGAGAGAATTCGAGTGGAAGGAAGCGGCAGGCCACGAGGTCGACTTGGCGGAGAAGCTCGAGTTCATGGTTGTCATGAAGAAGGAGCTGCGCCCACGCCTTGTGCCCCGAAAGCCCAACATGCAAACTGAAGAACACTTGTAATTTTTATTAAGCAACCAGCCACCTCGTTTGATTTTCTTCATTAAAGAAACCGCAAAACATAGTTAACTACTCCCTCCGTCCCATAATATAAGAATGTTTTTGACACTAGTGTAGTGTTAAAAACGTTCTTATATTTTAGGACAGAGGGAGTAGATGATACCAATGCGTTGCGGGCTTGCGGCGGGAATATGTTACAATATATTTCACCAAGGTCTGGTTGTATGACAATTTGATTTAATAATTTATGAAAAAAATAAACATATTATACATTGTATTGGATTATTGTATAGTTGAAAAATATTTATTGAATATATGCTGTCTAATAGTATAACGGATTTGTTTTCTCACGGATGCCTTTGATCAGGTGACATGTGTGAGTGGCTTATGTGTGCATGTTGAAATAAATAGGATTGGTGGAGATCAACTAATTATGAAAAATAATTCTCCTGCATGTCGTAGTGAGCCTTTGATGATGTAGCATGTGTGCATGTTAAGATAACAAAAATAGTAGGGATTAACTATTAAGTTACATAGGACACAACGGCTATGACACCGGCATCAAACTAAGTAGGTTGCGAGCTACATACTCCCTTCTGTCCTTTTTACTCTGCGTATAAGAATTGTCTGAAGTCAAACTTCACACAGTTTGATCATATTTATATAAAAAAAATATCAATATCTACCATGTTAAAGTTATACAGTATGAAACTTTAAGTCATGACGCATCTGCTGATATTAATTTCACATTGTGAATGTTGATGTTTTTTCTATAAAGTTGGTCAAACTTTATGAGGCTTGACTTTAGACAAATCTTATATGCGAACTAAAAAGGACCGGAGGAAGTACTTGTACTTTTGCCTATAGTCTATAGCATAGTCAGTGAGTGCCCGACACACTTACTTCGCACCAAAGAGTACCCGACGAAAGAGGGACTTGTCCCAAAAGATAACCAACGGAAAATTCTTTTCGTTGAACAATGTTAGAGAGACAACTCAAGGAGGGAACCGCAAGAATCTAGTCTAGATTTATTTTATTTTTAGTGTTAAAGTGAAGAGTGTGGTTTTTCCTTCACAGCCAGGGCAAATTCTTTCCTCCAAGCTTCGTCGACGAGTCCGTTGATTCACCCCCCTCTGCATGCCGCTCCAGCGGCCTGTGGCGGGAGAGGAATCTCGGTGCCTTCGCTCCGGCTAGTAGTTCGGGTTAGGCGTTTTTAGTCCTTGTATATGTGGCGCTCGGACGGATGGCAGCACTTCTTCTTCGAGTTGATCTTTAGGCCCAATCCTCCTTGAGTTCTTTCATCTGGACATGGTGGACGGACCTCTATTGTTGATTCCTACCATCTCCTTGGGGCAGCGAGATTAGGGTTTCTTGTTGAGCTTCCGCGTCCGCAAGATTTGATGTCAGTTGTTTCAAATATATTCAAGAGTTCAATGGCAATGACTGAGGCTCCAAGCTGGTCCTTAGGGGCACGTGCATGAAGACTTCCCGGCTATCATCGACAAGGTCAAGCTGGCTTCGGTAGGGGAGCTGGGACAGCGGCGCATCGGCGGTTCGTTCTAGCGATGGTTGTGGTCCTTCAGTGGTCTAGTGACCTTGATGTAACATTTATTACGTTTGAGGTGCTTTTTACTTCTGGTGAACTTTTATTATAGATTTGTATCCATTTCCCTTTATTTTAGTTGCAAAGTGTCTGTGCATTGCAACAAAAGAAAATTTAATGCACTTCCCTAGCATGATCTAAAATATAAATCATTATTTAATTTATGATCCACATCTATTATTCTCAACATGTGGCAGAATTGTGCTTTCGGCCATATTGTCTTTGTAACAAGATTAACCTCCATTGTTTGAGGTGCTATCTAGGGAAGAGACCAATGCAGTAGTGGAGGAGTAAAGTGATGTGATATGTAGATTTTGTGTTGCATGTTGTAGTATGAATTTGGTGTATGAAATTTGAGGTATGCGGTTGAACCAGACGTAAAATGGGGGGGGGGTGACTGGTCCCTCTCCGTGATGCGCCGAACACATACACTGATATATGAGGGATTATGTTTGCCATCTATGGTTGTAGATGTTCTTAGATGGGCAGGCAGACAGCACAAGAACAACGCACCTCTTGCGATTCCTGAGTGCTCCAGCGGGTGGTGCGGGAATGAAATAGGTGGTTGATATTGGGATGGAGTATTATGCGAGGACTTGTGGGTGGGAATTGGGGTTTTTCTATTTTGAATGATCACCAATTAAAGGGGGTGAAAAAAACTCATAAAGTACCAAAACTTAAACTCGGGCCAAGGGAAATCTGTCCAGGTGGGTTTCCTATTTTTGCAACCGCCTGGCCCAACTTTCAGAACAACAACCTTGGGAATGCTGAAACTTTTAAATTTTAGCTTTCAATATTTGCGAACTTTTGAAAATCAAATTTTAGATTTTGAAACTTTTGGAAATTTTGAGCTAGCAAAATTTTCAAAACTTCCAGAAAGTTCTACAAATTTCACATCTCCCAAACTTTGTTTGAAACAACCAAAAATTGTGACTTTCAAAAATTCGTAATATTTTTCCATGGGAACAGAAAGTCGGAAAAGGTGAGGCACGCGGTGGAAAAGTCGCCTGATGTGGCGCCCCTGTAGAGCCAGCCCTCCCAGCGCCAAACCGCATCCTCCATAGTTAACTCACAGATTTTTCAAAACATTCGAAAAGTTTCAAAAATTCTGCAACTCGTGAATTTTCTATGGAAGTACTATCAAATTTCATGCAATTTCAGAAATTTGGAATTTGTTTGGAGGAAAGAAGAACGGAAAGCAGGGCCCACCAACCGGAATGCACACAGATGGAGAAGTCGTCTGGTGGGGGGCCTAGCATGCCAATAGCCAGCCCTCCCTTTCAGCGCCAAACCGCGCGTGCCCCCACATAGTCGACTCGCTGGTGGAGATGCTGTTGTGCTGAAGAAGAAATGGTCGCTGGGTTTGGACTGAGCTCAAAGCTTGACAAGTCGGTGTAGGGAAGGAGGCAAAGTATCTGACTGTAGTTCCTCCACACCGCTCTCGGGTTCCTTCGAGACTGGGAGATGGAGCTCGCCGGCCTCCTTAGTGCTGGGGAACGTAGTAATTTCAAAATTTTCTTACGCACACGTAAGATCATGGTGATGCATAGCAACGAGAGGGGAGAGTGTGATCTACGTACCCTCGTAGACCGACAGCGGAAGCGTTATGACAACGCGGTTGATGTAGTCGTACGTCTTCACGGCCCGACCGATCAAGCACCGAAACTACGGCACCTCCGAGTTTTGGCACACGTTCAGCTCGATGACGATCCCCGGACTCCGATCCAGCAAAGTGTCAGGGAAGAGTTCCGTCAGCACGACGGCGTGGTGACGATCTTGATGTTCTACCGTCGCATGGCTTCGCCTAAGCACCGCTACAATATTATCGAGGAGTATGGTGGAAGGGGCACCGCACACGGCTAAGAAAACGATCGCGTGGATCAACTTGTGTGTCTAGGGGTGCCCCCTGCCCCCGTATATGAAGGAGCAAGAGGAGGAGGCCGGCCGGCCCTAGGGCGTGCCAAGGAGGAGGAGTCCTCCTCCTAGTAGGAGTAGGACTCCCTTCTTTCCTACTCCTACTAGGAGGGGGAAAGGAAGGGGGAGAGGGTGAAGGAAAGGGGGGCGCCGCCCCCCCTCTCCTAGTCCAATTCAGAGCAGAGGGGGAGGGGAAGCGCGGCCCACCCTGGCTGCCCCTCTCTCTCTCCACTAGGGCTCATAAGGCCCATTACTTCTCCCGGGGGGTTTCCGGTAACCCTCCGGCACTCCGGTTTCTCTGAAATCATCCGGAACACTTCCGGTGTCCGAATATAGCTGTCCAATATATCAATATTTATGTCTCGACCATTTCGAGACTCCTCGTCATGTCCGTGATCATATCCGGGACTCCGAACTAACTTCGGTACATCAAAACTCATAAACTCATAATATAACTGTCATCGAAACCTTAAGCATGCGGACCCTACGGGTTCGAGAACAATGTAGACATGACCGAGACATGTCTCCGGTCAATAACCAATAGCGGAACCTGGATGCTCATATTGGCTCCCACATATTCTACGAAGATATTTATCGGTCAGACCGCATAACATCATACGTTGTTCCCTTTGTCATCGGTATGTTACCTGCCCGAGATTCGATCGTCGGTATCTCAATACCTAGTTCAATCTCGTTACCGGCAAGTCTCTTTACTCGTTTCGTAATACATCATCTCGCAACTAACTCATTAGTTGCAATGCTTGCAAGGCTTATGTGATGTGCATTACCGAGAGGGCCCAGAGATACCTCTTCGACAATCGGAGTGACAAATCCTAATCTCGAAATACGCCAACCCAACATTTACCTTTGGAGACACCTGTAGAGCTCCTTTATAATCACCCAGTTACGTTGTGATGTTTGGTAGCACACAAAGTGTTCCTCCGGCAAACGGGAGTTGCATAATCTCATAGTCATAGGAACATGTATAAGTCATGAAGAAAGCAATAGCAACATACTAAACGATCGGGTGCTAAGCTAATGGAATGGGTCATGTCAATCACATCATTCTCCTAATAATATGATCCCGTCAATCAAATGACAACACATGTCTATGGTTTCGAAACATAACCATCTTTGATTAACTAGCTAGTCAAGTAGAGGAATACTAGTGACGTTTAGTTTGTCTATGTATTCACACAAGTATTATGTTTCCGGATAATACAATTCTAACATGAATAATAAACATTTATCATGATATAAGGAAATAAAATAATAACATTATTATTGCCTCTAGGGCATATTTCCTTCAGTCCCCCACTTGCACTAGAGTCAATAATCTAGATTACACAGTAATGATTCTAACGCCCATGGAGCTTTGGTGCTAATCATGTTTTGCTCGTGGAAGAGGCTTAGTCAACGGGTCTGCAACATTCAGATCCGTACGTATCTTGCAAATCTCTATGTCTCCCACCTAGACTAGATCCCG